GGGAACACACGTTCACAACAGCCCTAGCAGAGCACCTGGCCGTGGAGATGGGAACACACGTTCACAACGGCAAACGCCACCCGGGGAGGGCCCGCTGGCCTCAGCTAGGGATCATTTACCCACACACCACGCCCAGAAGTAAAAGCTATAAAATCCATATTCTTGGAGAAAATAAAGCTCGGACAGAGGGAGTCACATGCCCAAGGTCACACGGGGGATGGGCAGCAGTCGGGACCCACAGGTGGCAAGGGAGTCGGTGGTCACACGCCCTCCAGCTGCGCCCCTGGGGCAAGATCTTCCCTCAAGGCTGAGCCTGAGGCCCCAGGAGACCCCCACCAGCTAATCACTCCTAAAGGGACCAGGCAGACCCGGGGTTGCTCTGCGAAAGGGAACAAACCCTGCATGGGGGCCGGGGGGCCAGGTCTGAGTGGGCTTGGGGCCCTGGGAAGGGCCCACCAGGCCCAGCACGGCTGTACCCACTGCTCTGCGGCGCAGCTGGGAGCACAGTGTGCTGCACGTTACGAGCTGGAAATTAAACACGACCCGTCTTCCAGCGAGGCTGTCTGCAGCGCAGGCCCCAACAAGACCGGGCACTTCAGGAATTTATGACGGCTCCCCCCTCCTGGAAACTCTCGGCCCAGGCCAGGCCTGCAGCAATGAGCAGGGAGGAGGGACGCGCACGGGACCCTGAGCAGGCTGTGCCTTTGTCTTACAGAAAAGAGAAGGGACGGATCCCCCGAGGCCACGGTTGGGGGAATGGGGGAGAGGGCAGGCCCCAGAGCCCCTCCCGCAGCCCCCCACCGGCCCAGCAGTCCTGGGGCTCACCGATGCTCCTTTTCCTCCGAATGGGCACAGGCCGCTTCTCCAGCGCATGCTTGGTGCCATGGCCCCCGTGGGCTCTCAGGCTGGTCTCCAGAGGCTCCTCGGCCCCTGCAGGTAGAAACAGGAGCTAGCGACCGGCCGCCCACACCTGCGCACCCAGGGTCTGTCCAGCAGCACGTCCCTCCCCAAACCAGATGGGGTCCCTCCACACCCACAAGGGGGCTTCAAGATGTGCACAGGATGAGACTCCCAACTGCCAGCAACGTCCCACCCAGCCCCACGCAGCTGACACGAGGTCCCCGACACACGTCACCACGAAGCCGAAGCCGCAGGCCAGTGGGGAAGGGGCTGCAGCCGGCCTGCCCCACGGCTCCTCCTCAAGGAAGCGCAGGTGAGGGCTGAACCAGGTAAGGAGGCACCCGAGGCCAGCCCTCCCTGCCCAGGAGACCAGAGCCGACAGGCCTGCTGCTGCCAGCTGGACAGGGGACCTTGGACAGCGGGCTGGACAGCGGGCTGGACCGAGGACCAGCAGGGGCTGCTGCCGCGACTTGTGCACTGCACGTGTCTCCTCCCCCACTGCCCTCACTTAAACCAACCCTCGATGAGCATCCTGGCCGTCGAGGGGCGTCGGAAGCAAGGCCAGACTGGGCCTCAGCCAGACCCCACTGGTCCCTGAACTTAGCCCACTGCGAGGAGGAGGAGGACACGAGAACCGGGAGTGGGGAGTCAGGAGTCTGGGTGCCTGTCGGGGGGACACAGCTTTCAGGAAGGAAAGTGCTTTGCCATCCAGTATCTAAGGCCTGCAGAGCAGCGGCCTCAGAGCCAAGGCCACAGCGGGGCCTAGTCCCCCGACTGGCCACAGTCCCCTCGGTACGCACACCACCACCCTCTCTGTCCCCAAGGCCCCCAGAAAGGGGGTGCAAGAGACACAGTCCTGCCACCTGCCATCTGGCCTGAGCCAGCCCAAGGACAGCACCTGCACCTGGATGAAGTGGGTCCCACTTGACCTCCCCACCCTGGCCTCCAGACCCACTGGGGGATCGTCCCACTTCTCCTTTCTGTCACTGCCTCCCCCATAGATACCCAGGGGCAACAGGTCCCGAGAAGGTGCACCCCAATAGTCAGCAGCTGCACAAAGACTCCCCCTCTTGCCACCCCCCACCCCAAGAAGCTCCAGTGGCATCCTGGCCACCAGCTCAGACCAGAGGCCCGCCCCTCGGCGCCCAGCCCACCTAGGCCTTGGCGACTGTCCCACACACCCACAAGTCTGGGACCTGCACTCATCGGAAACGGAGCACAACGGGGCAAACGCGGCGGGAATGCAGAAGACATGCCTGCCTTGAATGCCGGCGTCCAGGAGAACCCAGCTCTTCCCTCAAAATGACTCAATGTTCCACTGCCACTAATTTTTTTTGAGACCCAAAATAAGATCAGAACAGAACTACTCATGCAGTAAGAATTTCCCATCAACCAACTGCTACAAGAAACATTTTTTCATGAAAAAGTGACATTATGAGTCATGTCCTGGTGGTGGCCATCTTGCCATCGCCAAACCCAGAAGCAGCTGGTCCATCCTGAGCTTCTAAGAGAAAATGGAACGGCAGCAACCCGGGCTGCACCCCCGCGCCTCACTCTAGCCAGGCGACAGCCGCCTGCTGGGATGTCAAGGCGCCCCGTGTGCAGTAGGTGTGCCGCTTCTTCACCGCGGAGGAAACTGAGGCCTGAGACGCGGAAGGACAAGCAAGGCCAGCGGCCAGCAGGAGACCCCAGGGGCCCGTGGCCAGACCCAGACCGCCTTCCGCCCAGGCCTCTCGCCCCCCAAAACGAGCAGAGAAGACACAGCCTCCTCCCAGTCCATCGACTGTCCTGAAACCTGAACCAGGGACTCGATCTCAGTCAGGAGTAGAAAGAGCTCCCGGTCAGACAAGCTCAGCCACTGCCCCATCGAGATGGGTGGTCTGGAAGCCCAGCTCGGACCCGCTGACGCGGAGGCAGCCCTCTGATTTACGCAGGTCGAGATGCAACTAGTGGGGACTCCCAAGAGAAGCCCACGCGTGAATCATGCCCTAAAACTGCTCTCAGAACAGTTAATCAACGGCTTTCCCTTTTGCCTGTTATGCACACACGTCCAAAGGATGGGGAGCCGTCCTCCAGCCATCAGTCCTGGAGGAGCGTTAATGGCCGAGACGGGATATTTATGTATCGGTTACTCAATGACCACGGGCGCTGGGCCAGGCTGCTCAGAGAACAAAGCTCCCAGCTCCCGCCACAGCTCCGCTGAATGGCCTGCTCTCAGCACACCCGACACACAGGCCACAAACTTCACGCTACTGGCCATTAGAAGACCACATGCTGGTCTCTCCACCCAAAGGCCACACGTGAAAAACCAACTGCCCGGTCCTCGTGCACGCTTGCAACTCGCAGGCGCTGGCACAGGAATCCACCGCCTCGGGGCCTCCAGCGCAGCTCCTCACCTGTAAAATGGGAACAAGGTCTGGCTACAGGGAGGAGGCCACGCCCCACCTGCCAATCACACAGCCCAGCCCACTTGGGAGGAGCCACTCTGTTAAAGGAGCCTCTTTCCTGCTTCCTGGGCATCAGCCTGGAAGAGCCCCCTTCAGAGTTTCAAAGAAGAGTAAGGACACCCAGAACAACGGGTCTCCTCCGCACCCAGCCCCCTCCTCACTGACCCCAGACCGGCCTCTGACCGGACCTGGTGGGGAGTGCTGGGCCTGGAGGGCAGCTTAATCCTCCAAGAAATGACCCCACAGCTGTTTGCAACCTTTCTTTCCTAGCAGCCAGCTCCGTTTCTACTCTTCACGTTGAACGGAAACAGAAGTCGGGGAGGAGACACCCCCCGCCAACCCCCCAAAACAAGCTACAGAAGCAAACAGCTCAGGTCAGAGCTTCCATATCCGTGAAAGGGGGGCTGACCAGGATGGAGGAGACCCGCTTTGGGGTGTGCATCACAAAGGGTCCCAGAGGGGCATGGCTGCTGAGCAAGGGAGACCCTGAGGCCCCTCCAATGTTCTCACCCCCGACGTTTCCCAGGCACTGGAGTCCCACTCTCAGACCCCAGATCTTCTGATGGGCCGGGGGTGGGGGGTGGGGGGGAGGTGATCCACTCTCTCCACACCCTGGGGCAGGAGGGAGCCGGGCTCCCGGGGGCTTTTATAAGGGGGCAATTTGAAGCCAGCCCGGAGAACCGGCTGGTGCACCCTTACGTTTTCTGTTTGGACCCTCCAAGGAGGCGGTGGACCCAGAAGCCCCCAGGTCAAGAACGCTATCAGCGTGACCCCAGAGCTGCAATGCTAAAAGCATTCATGGGTGGGGGGTGGGGGAGAGGCGGGGCTGCGGAGACCAGAATAAGAATGGCCCCAGCAGAAAGTGAATGGCCCATTTCCCAATGGCAACCCAAAGCTGGTCCTGCAAGGAGGCCCAGCCTTTCCCAGGCCTCTCTTCTGCCAGCCAGAAAAAAATCTCTCTGGGAGCCAGTCTCCCCACTTTCCCCAGTCCATCAGGGAGCAGCAGAACGCAGGCAAGTGTTCTCCTCAGCTCACCAAAGCCAAATCCTTCCCCCCAGGGTTACACATCAAGGGGCCAGATCAAAATCCCCCCCTGGCCCAACTCTGATCTCCAAGTGAAATTCTACCTCCTTCCTGATAAGGATCACCCAAAGGATTTCCTGGGTCAAGAAACTACAGAAACCGTCGCCCTCGCTGGAAAATGGTTTTGGCATGAAATGAAAATAGTTCAGGCCTCTCCACCACCATAATTAGGTACAAATTTCCAAACGACTAGACCATGTGATTTTACTTAATTCCCCCGCCGCCCCCCTTTTTCAGAGTAGTTTGCAGTGAGAGAAAAATCTTCATTTCACGTAAAATTCTTCCAACCGACTCCTACTGGCTTCAGCGGCTCCATCTGACAAGTTCATTGGGGAACTCTTTTAATCCCGTCAACAGTAAGCTCTCCGATTTGAGCATCTCCCCAGCTAACTCACACTGGAGCTCCTGCCACAAAAACGTGGGCCAGAATCCTTGTCCTCTAGGAAGGGCCTCCCTCTGGTCCACACCCAAGCGCAACCACCCAACATCATCGGGCTCCCGGCCCAGCCAACCTGGGCCCCTCACCACCTTTGCCCACCTGGGGCCAGTACCCTGCCACTGCCACTCAAAGGAGCTTCAGGGTCCTCTTGTCGAAGAAACTGTTTTCTAAAGTGGCTCAGCTCCAAAGCCTGTGGGGGAGCCCCAAAATAGTCCCCAAACAGCAGATGTGTCCAAGGCGCGCCTTTTTATTGGCTCATGAAAACAGAAAGACAAGGGCCTCCTACAACCACAAAGGCCCAGCCCCACGTCAGGAGCGGGGCAAGTTCGCGGGGATGACAGAGGGGCCCAGCCGGGGGGCACCGGTGCACGCCTACCCGACCGGCGCCCGGGGCCTGGGCCGCACACCTGGCCGGGGCGCCGGCGCCCTCTATGCGGCTGAACTTTCTGTGACACACTGGGCATTTTCCTTAAGTGCAAAAACAATCCCTGGGCGAGCGAGCAGCCCTCGGCCGCCGCCGGGAGAAAGTGGTGATTGGAAGAGAAACTCCTGACTCATCCGCCTGGGCTTTTATGGCCCGGGATTGGATTCTGACCTTTCGGTGCGCTCCTGCTCGGCGCCTGGCCCGGCCCGGACGCGGGAGGCGGCGCGGGGCGCACATACCGCCTGCCCGCCTGCCCGCCGCCCGCGCCCTCCCAGCGCGCCGAGGGAAGGGGCGCGATTTACCTACGGAGTCTATCTCCAGGAGTCGCTGGAGGTCCCGGATGCTGTGTATCTGACTGTGCGCCAGCCTCTCAATGACCTCGCGGGGGATCTCGGCTTCCTGCAAGCAGAGCAACACGGTCAGCGCCCCGGGCCGCCCAGAGCGCCTGGTCCCCGGACCGAGGTTGCCCCGCCCCAGCGCGCGGGCGCCTCGCACGCAGGCCGCCCGACCCCCAGCCCGGGCCCTGGAGCCTGAGGCCGGGGTGCGGCTGGGTGAGACCCCCATTTCTCCGTCCCCAGCCATGTCTGCCCTTGCAAAAAGAAAGCGCTCCCCACCATTAAATTTAAAAAAAAAAAAACCACTCGGCCCCTCCGCCCCGGGGTGTCGGTTACAAGAGGTCTGGGGCAGAGAGGGGCCCAGGGAGTTGCTGATCTAACAGTGAAATCAACATCTAGGAAGATCAAGTTGAAATGCGTCACGGATGGGCGACGAAAGTCACGGCAGCTCTAACACTTTAATCCACCCTGGGGCTTAAATTTCACACCCAGAATCCCGGGCCGAACCTGCGGGGGAGAGGGTCTCTCGTCAGCACACACGCGCACGCACACACACACACACACACTCGCCCCACCCCGGGCTCCGGCCCAGCCGCGGCCCTAGCGCCGACTAAGACGCCCCAAATCCAGCCGCGGCTGGGAGGGGCTGCCAGGGAACTTAAGGGTTAATATCTACCTCTCACAGCTCCGGGTCCCAGCCCAGACCACCCCCACCACTCGGCCTCCCCACCCCCCCCACCCCACCCCCCGCCAACCCCGCTCCTTCCTGCTTTTTAAAGCGAGTCGCGGGTAGCTGGGGGGTCTCAAGCACTAAGTTCCCACGACGGGGCGTAGAAAGTCATTCATCACAGCAGAGCTCCCGGGGATTCGGAATTCGAGACTGGGGGCTGAGGGTGGGGACGCGGGCGGTGGGAGGGCGAGGGCGCCTGGCCCGGCCCCGGCTCGCCTCGCTCAGCCACCTGTAAGCAGGCCCCGGGCGGGCGGGACTGCGCTGGCCCAGCCGCCCCTCCGGGCATGGGGACCGGGAACCTGGGTCTGCGGCTCCGCGCTGCCCACCCTGCCTGCCGGGGGCTCCCGCCGCAACCGCCCCTACCTGTTTGTCGGCGGCTCTTCTACCTTCCCTGACTCCGCTGGCTCACACACACACCCCCTTCCGCGCTCCCCGCACCCCGATGCTGCATTGTCCGCCGCGCCCCGGATTTCCCTCCTCGGAAAGGAGCCCGCGCCCCCCGAAGTTTCTCCCCACTCGTCCACCCAGCCGCCACTCCGTCCCTCCACGGCAGAGCGACGCAACACGCTGGAAACTCACCAGACACACTTAGGCATGGCAGAAAATAGAACCCAGTTGGGAAAATTTAAAAATCGACCACGCTAGCAGAAATCAAAATGCGCTCTGCAGAGCCCCAGAGCCCGGGCTCCTCGGCCCGCGAGCGGCCGCAGGGGGCGTGCGCAGGGGGAGTCGGAGAGAGGACGGGGCGCGGGGGTGGCACCCACCTCGGCCAGGGCACTGGCGAGGTATCCGCAGCCGAGGAGCAGCAAACAAGCCCAGGTCCTCATCGCGTCCCGAGGCGCTGGCGGCTCGGCGGGGTGGCGAGGCCGCGGGGCGGGCGCTCCAGCCGGGCTCCTGTGGCGGCGAGATTCAGTACCATCCCTCAGGGAGCGCGGCCCGGAGGAGGGTGGCGCGGAGAGCAGGGAGCCGACGGAGCGCGCCAGGCGCGAGCAGCGAGTGCGGAGAGGCAGGCAGCGCCACCGAGGAGGAGGAGCAGGGAGTGCGCGCTCGCCGCGCCCGCCGCGCCGGGAGCCTCCTGGGCCGCCGGGTAGGGGGTGGGGACGGAAGGGGCGGAGGGCGGGGGCTGGGCCTCTTCCTTGGTGCGTTCCCGGTGCTGGCCGCCGCCGCGCTCGCTCCCCGGCGCTGGCTCTAGGAGCGACCAGGCCGGTAATTCTGCATATTTGCGGGCGTCAGCCCCGAAAGGGACCCCGGAGCGAGGCTGGAGCCGCTGCCGCCGCACCACCCATCACCTGTCTGGACACCCGGCCAGGCCCGGCGCGGGCTCGCGCTCTCCCTGCGGGCTGCGGGCGGCCCTGCGCGCCCGCCGCCGGCCCCGCGCTCGCCTCCGGCCTCCTCTAGCCGCCGCCGCCCGGCCGGGCACGGCACGGCCCAGCACGGCGCGGCCCGGCGGCCTGCGTGCGCCCCTC